AAGTCGCCAACGTAGGCGATCTCTGTCGGTGATTAGGTGCCTCTTCAAGTTGGATGGAAATGGCATGACCAATCACCTTTGTTGAAGTCATGCCTCACAGACAATATCTAACGTAGATTACACTTTCATCGTATCCAGGCGCTATGGATACTTTGATGACTGTATAACTAAAACATAACGTCATGGTAGAAATTTGTTGGTAAGTACAGACACAAGAACGAAGTGCGATTACAGCTGCATGGACCAGGCCATGATGTAGAACTTACTGGTGCGCGTCGGTTGTCTTTGGCCTTGAAGAGGATCGATAGATTGATCGACATTCAGTGACCCCATTACCGAACGACTTGGCTAGGGCCAAGTGATATTTCATGACCCTACAGAGTAACTTAGAAGATTGTACATATCGTGAGGAGCTTACACGATGGACTACAGTGAAGATTCATTCATAGAGAACAGCTGGTAGATGCATTCCAAGTGGGAACTGGTGTCAGACAAGGCCGCTTACTCTCAACCTTTCTCTTCTTGTTGTTGAATGAACTATAAACATCGGTTAACACAAGAGAATTCACACTTGATGAGCAAGCTCTGAAAGCGGTACAAAACTTTTACGTATGTGGTCAGCATCGTTCAGGAACAAGGAGATCTGATACAGATGTAAAGGTACGAATTAGCAAAGTAAGGCCAGGATTCTTACAGTTGAGAAATGTATCGAACTAAAAACAACTATCAATCAATATCACTGTGAGGATCTTTAATACGAACGTCGAGATAGTTCTACTGTACGGAGCTACAACTACTGTACCATTACAGGGTTCTTTCGTAAAATGTGAAGACCATACATTAAATAATTCATTTGCAAATCCTCCATCAATTGTCTCTTATATCCTTTATGACTTGCAATTCTGAATTACTTTATGCTTCCCTCTCTGTTTTCTTCAGTTTAATCTTCTTAGCCTTCACTTACCAGGCATTCCATTTCAGATTGGTGTTACTTCTTAAGAATCTTATGAACATTCCTCAGAAGGTAAATCAATAAGAAAAGAGTCGAATCTACATAGGTAAATAATACGACCTCCATTTATATCGTTAGTTTTGTGTCATAATAATAGAAAGTTTATAAGATTGACATTTTTGTCACCTCACTAGCTATTGTACATAGATTAATCTCAGCGGATTTATAGGAGATTTCACGATAGTTAGTGTGCTTGGTTGAAGAGATTATTTTTATGATAAATGTAGAACATACTCTTTTTTCCGATTAAATGAATGTACAAAGGGTGTAGGTTATCACATTACCAACTCGATGATCAGTATAATCTGATAGGCTGATTCACATTAAACTGACTGTGGATGCTTTTGCATCACTAAGGATAAATTTTAAGTGTATGACCACATATATTAAAAAAATTGTGATCTGTTTGAGTGCTATTGTAATATGTACTCAGTTTATTTATGGTCACACTTTTTCCAACTAAAATAACTATTTAATCGGTTGTAAGTCTAATTAGTTGAATTCCACGAGAAGCATTTTGATTGGATGTGGAATTCTTATGAAATTTATGATTTTAAAGTCAGATATTTTCAAAAATTTTCTGAAAACCAATTTTACTGGTGTTTAACAATAAATTTTCTTAAGCTACTTCAATACATAATGAGTTGAAATCACAGTGTTGATGGATAACTCTATACTAACCAAATATTTTAGTCACAACATATAATAAACAATAAAATGTAGTAAAAGGTCAAATATTGATCAATAAATTAATAATGTAGAAGTAGAATACTATGAAGAGTATAATATGTGAAATGATTTAGGTTGCAACTTTCAAGAAACTAGTATTATTTGTTATCAACTGAGTTTCTAACACAATCAGTTCATTGAATTGTTAAACTGTTCATTTACGAATTATGTTTATAAGACATAATGCAAACTAGTATTCCTTAAATATGAGCAAACATTCTGACTGTACTTTCACTTGACTAATTACAATGTCATAATGATAATGACCAGAAAATATAGATTACCTACAGGATGAAACTCTCACGACTCCTGCATCAACATGTACAATATTGGCAATACTGTGCGGAAAAACTAAACCATACGTTCAGTCATCATAGACTTTGAATATTTGTATTAGGATATATTTTTTTAGTCCTTAATCAAGATTGAAATAAAAAGTTAACGTCTGTTCTGTTAACACACGTTGTAAAGTCCGTAAGCTTGAACACCTTCGTCTAAGTTGTTGATCACGCCACTTAGTTCTTCCAAATTTGTTGAGATAACATCCTCCTGTCACCACCCCTAAAAGGCTTCTTTTACTTATTGCTCGTTTGGAGAAATGTAAGAACGGAATAATCGTTGCGAGAGTTTCTTGACTGAGGAAGGCGAAACAACCTGGCATTGCCATGAATTCGTGTTGTGAGTGCAACAATTTTACAAAGAAATAAGTATTAGTTGTTTGTTTTATAGGTTCCATCTAACGGAAAGCATAAAGGTAACGATAAATTAGGTTCCGTTGCCAAATAATTATTACTGCAACTTATTACCTCTATCTGGTCTATATTCGCAGCATGTACACAAGTGGTTACTGTAATTTAGGTGTTAGATGAGTAAAATTACACCAGGATATGAATCTTCTAAACCAATGAATATGAAATTAGAAGTTACTGCAAGTGAACAAAATTATTCAAGGAAGCGGAAACTAATGATTATATATGTCATAGTACTGAACATCACTATACATCAACTTCATTGATTATGAAAAGGCATTCGACAGTGTAGATAGGAGGACATTATGGAAACTTCTTCGACACTACGGAGTTCCTGAGAAGATTGTCAATATTATCCGGAACTCATACGACGGACTACAGTGCAAAGTAGTGCATGGAGGACAGCTGACAGATGCATTCCAAGTAAGGACCGGAGTCAGACAAGGCTGTTTACTCTCTCCCTTCCTCTTTCTTCTGGTGGTCGACTGGATTATGAAGACCTCGACATCTGAAGGAAAACACGGAATACAATGGACAGCTCAGAATCAATTAGACGATTTGGACTTCGCAGATGACCTAGCCCTCCTATCACGTACACACGAACAGATGCAGATGAAGACAGCCAGTGTAGCAGCAGTCTCTGCATCAGTAGGCCTCAGCATACACAAAGGGAAAACCAAGGTCCTCAAATTCAAAGCGGAAAACAGCAATCCAATCACACTTGATGGCGAAACTCTGGAAGATGTAGAGTCCTTCACATACCTAGGAAGCATCATCGATGAACAAGGAGGTTCAGATGCAGACGTAAAGGCGAGGATCGGCAAAGCAAGGGTCGCATTCCTACAATTAAAGAACATATGGAGCTCAAAACAACTTTCAACCAATATCAAAGTGAGAATCTTCAATACGAACGTCAAGGCAGTTCTACTGTATGGAGCTGAAACTTGGAGAACTACAACAACCACAATCAAGAAAGTACAAGTATTTATAAATAGCTGTCTACGCAAGATACTCAACATCCACTGGCCGGTTACCATCAGCAATAGCCTTCTGTGGGAGAGAACAAACCAACTTCCAGCTGAAGAAGAAATTAGGAAAAGACGATGGAAATGGATAGGACATACATTACGCATATCGTCAAACTGCATCACGAGGCAAGCCCTAACTTGGAATCCTGAAGGGAAGCGTGAAAGAGGAAGGCCAAAGAACACATTGAGTCGGATTATAGAAGCAGATATGAAAAGGATGAATTACAACTGGACGGAGCTAGAAAGGATTGCCCAGGACAGGGTTGGATGGAGAATACTGGTGAGCGGCCTATGCTCCTTCACGAGGAGTAACAGGCGTAAGTAACTGAACATTCTACTGGTATGACGCAACATTAACTCCAATTGTTTGCTGAAGAATTCTAACCACTTTTTTTATAATTGTTTGCAATCAGTATTCTTAATCTGCCATAGATAATATATGCTTCCGAAATACATTGGTGAATATATCCGTATGCATTGTTATTTTTAATATAAAGATGTAAATATGAGTGAACAACCAAAGATAATGAAGTAACAAAACGATAGTAATAACAATTTATGATAAAGTATCAATTGTTTATTTATTCTTTATACATTTTTACGTTTATCATAGTTGGCACTTAGCATTTTACAATCATGAACTAATTTTCGTATTACCGCATATTCAGTACCTGATCTATAGATTTACATAATAAGCCCAAATGTGTTTTTATAATGTTACTTGTGCTTGCAGAGATCATACTAGCCTCACACTACTTTTTTCAACAACCACTTCGAGTATTAACTTTAACAGATTGCACATCAATAACTTAATTTTAGAACAATTTGTCATCACTGGAGTAAAATAGTCCTATCAGAACCATCTACCAAGCCAAATAAGTCGATATCACAAGGCGTTCAAAACAGAATCAAATGCACAACTGAAAATTCAGTAGTTCAACAATACAGATTCATATTTATTCAACCACGGTCATTGAATGTTTCCCTTTTTTTCTACTACAAAACCTATTTTCTTCTTCACATTTTCACGTCTACTCAGTGAACAACCAATAATTGATCCTTATCCATTTGACAAAAGACTACTACTATTATTGTGGTGTATGCTACTTATATCGACATAAGTAGTATATAACACCAATCAGAAGTGGAATATGTCAGATAAACAAATATGCGATTCAATCCACATATAAAATTTGATAATATTCACTTAAAATAAGATAAGAGAAAAAGTAAATCTATACATGATTAAAATGAAAACAATGATATTTAACAATTTTATTTTTTCCAGGAAACAAGTAAAAAAGAAAATGGAAAATAAATGTAATTAGTATGTATCTGTTGGATGATAATAGTTTGTGTAAATAATAGCAAATTGAAAAGAGGTTCAGATCTATATTGTTCAAATATTTATCCTCTTATGATTCAAATAATTTGTTAAACATTTCTATGTATATTTCATTTGTTTAAGAATTTGTGCCTTTTTTAACCGTACTGTGTGAACGACGAAAAAATGCTGTCTTCCTCTACTTTCATTCGACCAAAACATATGATCTGTAATAATTGAAATGAAAAGATAATGTCTATATATGATACAAATTTCTATTATTCGACGCACACAGACAAATATATAGAGAGCGAAAAAATTTACAAAGCAATTAAAGATAGATGAATTAACTGACAACTAGTAACGAATAATGTACTCCAAATTTGATTGTTGGCCGTTCATTACTACTAATATTCAGCTAACTCGAAATTACATAATTGATTTGTGCTTCTTGTTAGATGACTCCGATTAGCATACAAACGGATTGACAATGAATACTAGCTGATGAGGGATTATCGCAAACAACCTACTCTTCTAAATTGGTCGGCTATTAATTACAGCGGTAACATTTTCTTCAGATGTTTATGCTGACATACAAATATATATGTAAAGTAACTCCGAGTATTTTTTTCCATAAAAAAGTCACTAACTTTAAGTCCGAGCCATGTTGGTAGATGCAGACTACTTGGTTGGGGTCCGCGTGACTATCGTAACCAAGGGTTGGAGACTCTGTGTGACATGGCTCAGAATCGATCACAATGGCGTATGTGTATACACTCTGTCTTCCCTTAAACTGAGATTAAAATCGCTCCATATGTTTCTTTCTACGAACTAATTATTTCTTCCTGTACTATGTCCTTATGTGCAATCTTCCTTTTATATATTACCACAACTACCTTTATGAATCCGGTGTCCATCTTGTGTTAATGAGGTATGGCAACTTGGACAGATGCATATATGCTGCCTGATCCTACGTTGTAGCTAAGTGACTGATTTTTTCCCATAGAATGGAGCTTAAATTGTATCATGTTTTAATCAATTAAATATATATTTACATTTCAGTGAGTTTTTTTCTCAACGAAAATGGGAAAGTGAATATTCTGTATCTGAAACAGCAAATTATTATCTACGGAATCATTCAGTTAACTACATCATTAATTTTTAAGGGAAATAAACAAAATAGATAATCATTAAGTAATTTTTCGTCAACTTACTCGGCCTCGATTATGTTGGTTTGTGTAATCTTGACGATAACGATAAAGAAGCTTGCAAAACTCTTCATTTTTTAACGCTACATCGACATCATGAATAATTATGCCACAAATAAATGCTTGTTTCATTAGTAGAATTGATAAGTGCTCAACAAACAAATCTGTGTTGAAGAGGGATTAAAACAATACAACTCATTTATTATTAAGTAAATTTTGTTTACTTGAATGCATCACAACTTTTTGTGTTATGGAAGTTAGGATTTCCGTTACTTAATGAGGAGAAAACGATTACAATCATCCTCTTAACGAAATATTATCTTTAATATGGATATATACTTTTATAGGTATATAAAGCAATTGTGCATTCTTCAATAAATAAATTACTTGCCTTTACACACACAAACTGGTTAGATTCAATTTTACGAAGTGCTTGTTATTATTCATTCAAGAACAAACGTTCCTTCGTGTAGATAGTGGCGTAGTGAACGCTGCTGACAAGGTTGTTTGAAAGTAGTATGTAGCGGAACGTGAAGTCGAATATGCGACGACTGTCAAATGAAGTGGAGAATTTCAGTGCATGGAAAGCACAGTGGGGACGAGACACTTGGAGACCACACAAGAAGACAGTTCAGATGTCAGAACACACCGTAAAATGCAAGTGGAAGATTGAAGGCTATGTATAATGTATTGTATAAATACACACCTCTTGCCTAATGTCGTGTTTTACAGTGGGAGATATGAGTGATGCTTTAAATCTATATTATAACCTGCCTGAAGTTTTTCACATTCATGAGCTGAATCGATTACCTTTTTTACAGCGTTTATCTGTGATATCTCAGAGGAACAGTTAACCAGCTGCACGATGCACAATATTTATCACGTCAGACTCGTGACAGAGTAACTGTAGAGCTCCATGTAGGACTAGATTATCATAAATTTTTACTCGTTAGCTGTACATATGAAATTAGATAGATAGACTGTTTTCACCGAAAGAGTTTCGATTCGTATTTGCACTGATAAATGCTTATTCGCAATATCATTTTTTATATAAACAAACACGATCATAGTGATATATCCCATATATAATGAAGATTGGAGAAAAACTACGGTTGGAAGAGATGGATTGTACTATATTACACAATTAAAGTTTTATCATGAGTCATTTCTATATCGCACTTAGATTTGTTCAACCTTTAGAAGTGTCTTTTAGATGTACCGTTTTACATGAGACAAAGTGAGTATACTAATTTTTGCATTGAGTGAAGGCTGTTTCCATCGACTACACACTCGAATTAGACTCGAGTCAAAGAACTAAAATGCAGACGTTCACCCAAACCCGTATGAGTAAAGAAACTATAATTGACCTTGTATAGTTTGAAAAAACTGTTGCAAATATTGAATATGAAGTGAGTGGTTTCGACAAAATCAATAGGACAAGTGTACTCTCGAGAATAATTATAAATTCAGTGTTGACTGGATTCTAAATTGTGGAAGTATTTTGTACAATTCCATTTAACTAACATCTCTGATACGGATTGAAATTCATTCAAGTAAATAAATACTATGATGAAATAAAACATAAATATGGATTTTCTATGTATGAATATCTAGAAGTTTGTAGTCACAGATAATGAATAATAGCTTTTTATCAGTTTTATTTTTTCAACTTTTTATCAGATATTTGCTGATTTTGTGAAAAAAAGGAATTGTACTTGTTGGGAATTATAAGATATCTTATTTGATAGCGCGTACAAATTACAATGTTTACCTAACCTGACAATTCCGATCGTTTCCGCTACCTTGATAGGATGGTCAGGCTTGCCTATCATGATAAATCAACAATGCCATACATACTGGGACAATTGTTCCTCAAGGTCCAGAGAGGTCTATTGAAGAGCGATATGACTAAAAGTAGCAAACCAAAAGTCCAAGGGCGAAGTCATACCCTTGTTATTTGAAATATAATTTCGATCCTGTTCAACCGTGTTCTAATTTGGGGACTTGTCGAGTGAATTGGTGTCCAAGAATACTAAGCAACATGAATAACTGGGTCGTAAATAAGAGAAATTATAACAATACCATAATATCATCTACTTTTCCAATTGAGAGAACAACTAAACAGTATGTCTGGTCAGTTTATACAAAAATGTGTGGCTCGAAGTTGAATTCATGAGCCAACATTTTTTTTTATTATTATTACAATAATATAATATCATGGTAACAAAAGCAAAACAAATTAAGAAATCCTACCAGAGGTTGTAAGTATCAAATCAACTTGTGTTAATTTCTTTACATCACAAGGTAAGTAAGCAATTTTTAAAGGACGTTGAGATGTATTATTATCATTATCTGATCTGTAATGAAAATAAAAACTTGGTGAAATTTTCTTTAATATACAACATGAACATATAAAAATGTAGAATTTACTTGATGTTATTCAAATACAATTGAATGAATTAAAATTTAAATAAGTGAATAGAAAATATTCTATGCAATAAATTTAAATAATGTCCTACTACAATGATGAATTCAAATAAAACTGCAACATTTATAATTAGAATAAATATGGACAATTTTGAAGTGCATATGATAACCACGATCAGTAGCTGAAGACTTTGGGTGATATAGCTCATAATAGCAAAGATGCATTCACTCTTTATCTTCTTCTTGACCTTGAAATCCAGTATTCCTTCGTTAATACCTCCCCAATTTTTTTTCGAACCATATTCTTAATGTTCATTCTTTATGATTATCCCTGTTACCATATTATTTTGATCTTTTCTGCTATTCATCCTGTCGTTCTAACGAAATTTATTCCTACGCCACATGTGGATGATGTCACCTTTTCCTATAGGTAATGTAACGTGAGAAAAGAAAACAAAGAGTCCTACTAACTAGGTGATCTACAAAACTAATATTTCTCAACCGCTTATTAATTTATTCTGGTTGGCGTTTTTTTAGCAAGACATTCCTAATGTACGGAGAAGAAACGTAGAGAACTACTACTACAACCATCATCAAGTAGGTACAAATATTTATAAATAGTTGTCCACTCAAGATACTCAATATACGTTGACCGGATACCATCAGGAACAGTGTACTGCAGGAGAGGACAAACCAGATTCCAATTGAAGAGGAATCAGGAAAAGACACTGGAAGTGGATAGAACATACATTATGGAAATCATCAAACTGCATCATGAGGAAAGCGCTAACCTGTGATCCCAACGGAAACAGAAAAGAGGAAGGTTAAAGAACACACTGTGTCGGGAATTGGAAGCAGACAAGAAAACGATAAATAGCAACTGGAAAGGATTGGTCAGGACAGGGTTGGATGGAGAGTGCCGGTGGGCGGCCTATCCTCATCGACGAGGAGTAACAGGCGTAAATAAGTAAGATTATTAAATAATTATGTATTTTTATTGAATATTTCGTAAGTAAGTATCCGATATTATTAAAGGGAAAACTAATTTCGCTAGCAACCCATAACTTTCGATGTTAGTTCATTCAGAGAAAGAGGTTGCCGGTAATTATTTTCTATGAAGTTATTAGCCGATGATGGCATCGTATCATTCTGTATTATTTATCGATTATTTATCACTTTAGCCGAATTTATCAAATAATCGACCGCGACTTTATTGGAGTAGTTAAGAGTGTGATGAAAGGTGAATAACTTGCGCAAAAATATAACAACTAAGGTAGTAATGTACGATTAGTTTTAGAAAAATATAGTCATCGAGAAAGAATCTACACATATTTAGCACACAAAGTTTTGAGAATTAAATTCGAATGGCTTTTGTCATTGTATTTGAATGATACTGAATATCGGGATGTGATATTAAGAATAAAAATAGTGGAAAAAACTAATTCCCTTTCTTCTCCATCGCATATCAATAATTAGTAGTTATTCATAACTTGGATAACTGATAAATCTTTTAAATAAATTAATAGATTTGTAATATCTTAATGAGCAGAGAAATCAGATTTTCTGCCTCAGAGAATAAATAACCAAATCAAAATTAATCCAAGTTTAAATAACACAAAGGAACAACGCAATAATATAATGTGCGATCAATCCAAAACAGGTCTGAACAAGTCAATGTCGCGTCATTTCAGTCAAGGTGATTTATAAGCGAACTAGATTTTATTACTGACGTTCTCATATATTTTCTTCTTTGACCTTTTCTAAATTTTTTGATTTGACGGTGTTTCGGTGAATTTAAATAATGTAATTCTAAATCTATCCATCTACCGAGAACGTACATACTCAAATCGTTATATTGACTTAAATTCAGCACATTCATACAGTGCAAAGATCTCACTAGCCCTAAATCCTTTTAGAAGAGCTAACAAGATTATCATAATGGAAGACCATAAACAAAAAGAACAAAAGAATGTAATTAACATCTTAAATTTAATAATTTTCATAGGAAAATTATTAGAAATGTATTAAAACGAGACGTTTCATTGCTTAATAATAACTCGAATGAAATACTATGGATTGGTACTGCAGTTTTACCATACCGTCATGGTACAACAGAAGAACTCCAAAGAATTTTAAAACAACAAAGAAGTAAATTAAATTACAAAACAATGAACACACTTCGAAATACTTTAGTTTACTCAAAAGAAAAACTCCCATTTATGTCAACACAGAACTGAGTCTACAAATTAGGATCTGTCGATTGTGATGGCTTCTATATTGGAGAGTAATCACGTGAAATCTTGACTCGAGCCAAAAAAATTTATTAGGTACATGAAGAAAACACCTAATAATCCCGTAGAGCTGTATAAACTTCAAATTAAATCGACAATAGCAGTTCATGCCATTTTTAACAACCACCAAATCGATTTCAAAAATACAAAAATATTACAAAAACGTTTTTCCAACTACAAAGAAAGGAAGCTTTCCATATAATGCTTAATCCTAATGCGCTCAATAGAAAAGAAGGCATCACTATACATCCGATTTGGACTATCTATCCTAGTTACTATGTCTGATATTATTAATATTTCACATTATTATCCTACATACAAATTAAACTCTATCCTTCCTCACCACAAAGGTCACAATTTTTCATCCCTGATCTTGCACACATGCACACAAATTTACGTACATTCGCTTATAAATCACCTTGACTGAAATGACACGACACTGTTTTATGTGATACGGCAACCTATCCCGGACAAATGTCAAAAGGATTTGACCATCTTGACATGGGATCAAAACGCTAAGAACGAGTTACATAACACAAAGGAAATAAGCACCATAAGATGACATGGAATAGAAGAACGGAACAAAGATCGAGAGATTGCTGAATCTAAGGCCAAAATTAATTCATGGGTAACCTGTAAGCCACATTAGAGACAGTGAAAAACTTTAACAATTTACAAGTTTCATAACAGGGTTATCGATTAGTGTGAGTAGTGAGAATTAAGTCTTCAAATTAGAAATTGGAATAGGAATACAATCAGTGTTTTCAGCAAGTACTGACACAAGAAGCACAATAATCAAACTACATAATTCGTCAAAAGGTAAGTAAGAAGGTCTCATCAACAACACGCTGCACACCAAATTATGAACCACAGAAGTAAATTTAGAAAGACAAGATTCGAAATGAAGAAAATCCTTCATTCTCGACATTAAGCAGAGTTAAAACTAGTTAACACATTTATTATTATTTATTTGAGCACATAGATGTTGGTAATAAGAAGCAACGAATTCATATGTCTAAATAAGTGACTTGATTTGCGTCTGGGTTAAAATACTGTCCGGGCGCCTAAACAGATGCAGGTAAAACCTCAACCTCCGTCAACCCGGTTAAAGCGCCGGACATTCGTTTTGCGTACTCTCAACTTAGTGAACAACAACCTCGTCACCGAGCAGGAGTTCCCTGGCAGTGGCTGTAAACGCGAGCCATATGAGAGCATTTGGAGAGGTGGAGCTAACTCTTCTTAACCTCGGCCGCACCACGGCATTTCGGGGGTCACCATTAGGCCACCAACACTAAAGAAATACTTGCTGATATTTATAGTAGGCAGAAAATATCTCACACTTTTATAAGATTCATAGTTTTACATTCCCAATTGTAGATACTTATCTTTCCAAAATAAGAACACCATTTAAAATATTACTATGGAATTCACACTGAGACACTTTTAGAAACACACTTACTGAGATCTGAATACAGAAATCGAGTTAGCTGAGGAACTTTCTGTTTTAGGTAGAACCCATACTACCCAGGTAGGAGCAGAAGGACTTGACGAGTCGATAGTTGACAGATTTTTATTAGCTATCAGTAATGCATTTGCCAGATGTATCGCAATACGATCTCGACCGTCAAATGAATCCAACAACAAAACACAATCTTGATCTCCTTTCGCTGAATTCTCCAAAAGCTTAGCCTATAATAATGAATATGACAAATGTAGCAATTACCTATTGATCGTAAGAAATATGTAATGCAATAATTCGATCTCATAGAAGTACAATGGAATTCATTTGACTGCCAAACTCTAGAAAATATAGTAGGAAACATAACTGCTAAAACTGAAGTACTCTTCAATAAAATAAATTTTCAAAACCGAATGGATCCTGCTGTGCCTCTTTTCAAACTCTATACGAATTCTTTTGGCCTAGCTAGACGTTGCAGCACGTGTCAACTCCACATTCTGGTTGATTGGAAATAATGGGTAACTGGAGTTCCGTTGAACTGATAGTTAGTGTTCTGTTCATCGTTATAATCTCTTGAACTGAGAGTAGATCATGGTTCTATCTTCTTCAATCTCACTAACTATTGATTTTTTATAAGCCGTTTTCTTGATGAGTCGGTATAGTTGTCCAGTATTACCTATCACAATTGTCTTTTCCATCTATCTTGCTTTCATTAGCGATTCCTCCTTACGATCATTAGTTTTCGTTTAATTTGTCTTCCCTCTTCATTTTTCTCAAAATCCGATAAACTCGTGAGCAGTCATTAATCAAGTAGGAGTTTCGTAAATCCAATCACCTTTCCTAATCTTTCGATTGTGACTGATATCATATCTGCATTTAAATCTGTTTGAGTATCGTTTCAAGCTTCTTTGAGATGAACCTTTTTCCTATAATCGACTAAATACTTAGTTCTAATTATACTGTATATTCAAACAAAATACAAGCAAACATCAACAGGAAATAAATCAAGGAGTGTCTAGTGTTTTCACACATACTGCCAAGTCCGAAAGTTGTTATCGCGTCTTAAGTTATAGAAAGAGTATACGGCGGTATCTCTCTACACTCGGTGACATAGCTTACATCAAAAGCCTAGAGATTACAGTCTTCGCCAAAAAATCCTATTGTTCGACTTGGTACAAGGTTCGGTCTCTGAACGCTTAAAACTGCAGTTTAGAGAGCGCTTTCAGGTTTGTAATAGCAGTTCGTAAATGTCTTAAGAACAGGATTTATTGCCGTCAGATTCCCGTACACTCTGCAACAAGACCTCGATCTGCTGCTTTAAGCATTACTCCTGCCCAACCAGGCTGTCTGAAATGGTATGAGTTCCAGTAGGAACTGCCACATTGAGTTATTACGACGCGCGAGGGCCACCAATACTAATGCTATTCCTGGTCTCTTGTAAACATGTTCGAACCTTTTGTCAGGTAGTGATAAGTCTTCTTCTTCGACTATCTACAGTGTTTAGCGTCCTTTTATCTCTGTGTATTTGATTGATGTCAGCCAGTCAGTCAGTAACAACGTAGAACTTCGTACGTACGTACATCAGTTCGAGTTGCCACACCACATTAGCACAGAGATGTAGTGGTAGTGTAGAGGTAATAAGAGTATAAGCAGTAATCGGAAAGATTAGTGTTTGGAGATGTTATTTAAAGAGTATAATCCAGCGAAATAAATTTGGGAAGAGAAAAATAAAGAGACAAGGAGGAATAAGGAGATCAAAATTTGGGAGAACACAAAGGGTGTATGCACCTGCGCCATTGCAAACGATTAATGTGTCTAATCCACGTTGCGAAAATCCCATTCACTTTGTACAAAACATTTCCCATTCTATTTTTAATGACTACCGGTTCCCACAGACTTTTCCTAATGTATGACTTGACGAGTACTTTTATCACCCACGTTAAAATTCCGGATATTCTGATCTTGTCTGAGCACATACATTGGTTTAGGTGGCAACATGGCGTCGAATATAGATTGGATACTTCTTACGAACATCGCTTCAGCAGGGGACTTCCCATCTGGGACGATAGGGTTAGGCGTAGTCTTATAAACTGCTAAGAATTTCGTTATTACCTGGCTTGTCTCCTCGCCTTCCCCTTTCAGTAGTGATCTTTTGAGTGCGTCCGCGAAGCCCTCTGCCTATCCATTTGATTGAATGTGATAGGATGGAGAGCGTATATGTACAATTCCATTAATGTTGCAGAAGGGCTTGAATGATTCTGCAGTGAATTGTGAGCCATTATCGGTCACTAGTCTCCGGAACTCCAAAGCAAATAAATAGTTCAGATAACTTGCAGACTGTTTCACTGGTTGTGCAATTAGCCATGACATAGATTTGTAGCCATTTTGTGGGTGCGTCCACTGTGACTAGAAACATTCTTCCTCGTATTGGGCTGGCAAAATCTGCGTGCAGCCTCTCCTAGAGACTATTAGGTTTTTCCCATTGTTGTGATACACTTCTTTTGACTTTTAGCTGCTTGCAAGCACAACGAACAATTGCGGCACCTGGTTTCGATATTTTGATCCATTGTATGCCAGTAAGCATAGTTTCGAGCAAACACTTTCATCATATTGATGCCAGGATGACTTCTGTGGAATTGTCTCAGAACCTTGTGGCATAATATTTTTGGAACAATAATTCTGTCACTAAACATAATACATGGATCAACCATCATGAGTGAGTCCCGCCGGCGAAAATACTGCAGCACTTCTCCTTGAAAAAGACGGTTCGGCTACTTGGTGAGAACGTAACCAGTAACTTCTCTTAATATCTTGTCATTCCCGTGACTTCTTTGATAATTTTGAAACTGGTACACCACCGACTGTGTCTCCCAATACTTGATGCACTTCTGTTTCCGTGTCAGTTGCTGCCACTAACGTATCTTCTTCCAGTTTTACTTGTGAACCAATCAGTCTAGACAAAGTATCAGCTTGTCCAAAATCAGTAGTGGGCTGGTACTTGATCTTGAAGTCATAACCCAAGAGTGTAATTTCCCACCGTTGCAGTCTATTTGCTGTGCATACCGGGATAACTTTCTTCGACCCAAAATGGCTAGCGATGGTTTATGGTCAATTAATAGAGTGAACTGGCGTGCAAATATCTTCTTGTGAAACGCCTTTACAGCAAAGATAATCGACAATCCTACGTTCTCGATCTGACTGTAGTTGACGACCTGGCCGCATGTAATATGGCTTTCTCAGATCTATCTGGCATGATGTGAGAAATATTTGCTCCTATGCCGTGGTTCGAAGCATCTGATGCTAATACAATGGGTAAAGATGGATCGTAATGAGTGAGCAACAGATCCGAGACTAGTATTTTCTTGATTACCTCGAAAGCAACTTGGCAGTTTGCAAACTAATCCCGTTTTACATTCTTCGCCACAAGGTTATTCAAAGGAGTACGTAAGTGACGAAGGTTAGAATAAAAGCTTCATAATGACTAATTAGTCCCGAAAAGGATCGTAGTGTGGGGACGCCCGTCTGTCTAGGCATAGTTTTCACTGCCTGGGTACTCTCTGGATCTAGTCTTTTGCCAACTTGGTCGATTATATATCCGAGGTAGTGTACATTTTGCATACAAAAGTTACATTTCTCTGGACGGAGCCGAAGTCCATATTCTGCTATTCGCGACAGCACCTGGTCGAGCTTCTTTTCTAAATCTATTCTATTTACTCCCATAATTATTACATGATCCAGATAAGCTGCAGCACCTGGAACATCCTGTAGCATAGCATCCATTACTTGCTGAAATATAGATGGGGCCGTCTTGACTCCGAAAGGTAGTCGGTTATACCAGAATAGGCCCTTGTGTGTGTTTATGGTGAGCAGCATTTTACACTCATCAGGAACAGGAATTTGTAAATAAGCTTCCGACAAATTCAGCTTTGCAAAGAGCTCACCTCCACTGAGTTTAGCAAAAAGATCTTCAGGCAGGGGTAATGGATACTGAGTTTCTAGGGCTTCATTTAGCCCATCGAGCAATCGGCACATCAACGGACACTACCATTAGTCTTCTTCACCGCCACTATCGGTACAGCCCATTCTGAGAAATTCACCGGTTCAACGATACTCAATTTATGAAGTCGTTCGAGCTCATGTTCAACCACTGAGAGGGCAGCATATAGTAAAGGTCTTTTAGGTTGAAATACAGGCTTTGATCCCTAGGGAAAGGTAAGAGCAGCTTTAAATTTAGTGCATTCTCCAAGACCCTCACCAAATACCATGTTATGTCGTTTCGATAACATTTCAACTGAGTTTCTCTCCTCAACTTTCGACGTACTGACGTTATTACAGACCGAGTTTATGGGGCAATCTGTTAACTTCAACCTTTCTATCCAATCAAGCCCCAATATGCCGAGTGATGAACGTTCTGTGATAAATATTACTCCCTTCTCCGTAGACTCTTTGACTGTGACTTCACTATGAATCTCACCAGCAATGTTCAGAATTTCCCTGGGATGCACTATGTCCTGATTGGTGAGTTAAATATATTCGCGGTCACCCTTCCCCCCACGTTTTTCTGCTTATAAGTGTTATATCGGAATCGGTGTCTAACTCTAAGCGGGCATCATACCCATTAATCTTGAGAGAAACATACTTAGTACGGTTATGGGAGCTGGTCCTGTTAATAGCTACTTTAGATGTTCGCAGCTTGAGTCTTTTAGAATGTACTTTCGGTAGACGGCATTTCCGGGTGTTGCAATGACTTTCTTTGTGCCATTTTCAGGAACACGTAGTACAACGATGATTTTCAGACGGACAAGACCTTTTGATAGGCGAACCGCCACAACCTGCATGGGAATGATGATTTGCCACTGTCATTACGATAATTCAGCGTGCTAGAACTTCATAAGACTCTTCTCTTGACTGCGTTGGTGTGAAGGAACCGGTTACCGTTCTCTACCTACCACTGAGGTATCAAGCTTCACTAACGTTTGGTATTCGGTAGTTACTCCCTGTAGGGTCATGCTGAGGCGATGTTCGAGCTTGCTTAGAATTCTCGTTCAGATGTTAGCATCCTCAGGTGAACGCAGGCTATAGACAAATACTAGCCATTTAAACTGGTCTTCTGTCATGGAAGACAACTTGAACCTCTCACATTTTTGGTCTACAATACCTGAATGTTTCACCCAATCATCTGGTTCTCCCGTTATCTTCAAGCATTGGTAACGGATGCTAAATAGATATG